CAGATTGTGGATGAGCAGCTAGCTGAGTGATAGATAATGAAAGAATCTTGTAGAGTGAGTGTGTAGTTTTTGTATATAGCTAGCAGCGTTGTTTTTATGCTGCCTGCCTGCGATCTGTTATTGTTTGCATTTTTCAGTGTAACATAGTCAGTTGTCCAATTAATTTCATTTTCTAGCTTTTGTCTTTTGTCGGTGTTAGTATTGTTGAGAGAAATCTTTCCAGAATATATATATATATATATATATATGTATATATATATATGTGCGTTGGCGTGTTTGTAAAGTGTGCAATCTGTCTTATTGGCTAGCTGGCTGGCTGGCTGGCTGGCTGGGTATCCTTGTTTATCGTTGTGCAATTTTATCTTTGCATAAATATATCCTAGGCATATTACATGATATGTGGGATAATTTGAAAGCATTTTGACTGACTGACTGACTGACTTAGGAATTATTTGTTTCATCTGTCAAGCTACTACTAGTAGCTTTGGTGTTTCTTTCATCATTGTTTTGTTTGTGATGATTTTGTGATTAGGAGGGTGGGTGGGTGGTCTATAGGGTGTAGATTGTAAATGTTGATTCATCTTTTGATTCATGATATGTTGGTTGATTCATTCACTGTGTATTTTGAGTGATGTGGAGTTGTTTGAGCGAGATATTTAGTCGGACAGTGAGTGAGTGAGTGAGTGAGTTAGTGAGTCGTCACAAGATATTTTGTAAATCATCACATTGTTTTTATGCATCAAGATGATTTTTGTGGGATGTTTCAGTTGAGTTGATTTATTTCTCAATTTTCAATAAGATTGATTCGTGGGTTGGGTTGGGTTTAAAGGTTGTGTGTGTGAATGGGAATACTTTTGGTGTTTGTTCGAATTGGCTGTGATGTGATGTAGGCTTTTTGTGTTTTGTATTTTGACTGTGTTGTTTGCATTGTCAATGCATCTGATCTTGTCATTCTCCGGTTTTAGCCTCCTCTTCTCTCTCTTTTTTCTATCATCATCATCATCATCATCATGTTTGATAAATTGTTTTGGGTACTTGTTGTTGTGGATGAGCAGCTAGCTGAGTGATAGATAATGAAAGAATGTTGTAGAGTGAGTGTGTAGTTTTTGTATATAGCTAGCAGCGTTGTTTTTATGCTGCCTGCCTGCGATCTGTTATTGTTTGCATTTTTCAGTGTAACATAGTCAGTTGTCCAATTAATTTCACTTTCTAGCTTTTGAAGCTTTTGTGTTTTGTCGGTGTTAGTATTGTTGAGAGAAATCTTTCCAGAATATATATGTATATATATATATATATATATATATGTGCGTTGGTGTCTTTGTAAAGTGTGCAATCTGTCTTATTGGCTGGCTGGCTGGCTGGGTATCCTTGTTTAT